TGGCCTCCAACCAACGATGGCCTCCACCCTGGTAGTAGCGATGGCCTCCACCCTAGTAGCGATGGCCTCCAACCTAGTAGTGATGGCTTCCACCCTGGTGCCATGGCCTCCAACCGAGTAGCGATGGCCTCCAACCGAGTAGCGATGGCCTCCAACCGAGTAGCGATGGCCTCCCACCTAGTAGCAATGGCCTCCACTCTGGTAGCGATGGCCTACAACCTAATAGCGATGGCCTCCATCTTAGTAGCGATGGCCCCCAACCTAATGGTAAACTTTTGTCCTTCATGCGACATGTTGTTTGCTTCTGGTGAGGTTCCCATGATTCTGAAATATTCTCAACATCTCAAAAACACTTCGGTTTCACCCTAAAACAAATCCCACCGCAAATGATGCACAACCCTGGCCGCCCTGGCCCTCCCGAAAACTTTTTGCCATGAGTTTGGCAGATTCTTCCCGAAACTCAGTGCCCTGACCCATGAGCTTCACCAGTCCAATGCAGTTGGCATTGGTGGTGGCCTCAACATAGGCAGAGTCGATCGCCTTCCGTGCCTGGACATTGGAGACCGGCAGGCGGCAGGGACATGCAAAAAAACACTCCAAAAGGCAAGAGTTGCTTCTCTTTGCTGTCACCAATCTGCTCATTCTAGGAGTCAATTTCCACAATCGAAGGAAAGAGCCAATCTGATCCTGCAACAAAATATCCTGATTATATATATATATAGAGACATTTCAAGACATAGCTCCACCAATGATTACCCACCTCAGTACATGCTGTGTCGAATCCAAAGGTCTGATCCTGCAAGAGCCAATTGTAACACTGCGGGCTGAGATGACATGTTCATTTGCCAACAAGTACGCAGCTTTAAACTTCATCCGCTTAATGAAAACACCTGTATTTAAAGTGTCTCAGGCTAAGCTGGGCTACTGATCAACAAGAGCCACCATGTTCGGTCCACAAGGGTGATGTCATTGTCGATGGTCTTTGGCACGCCTACCACTGCACACCTCAGCTGACATTACTCCTACAAGTGCGGCCTGCAGCCTCCCCTCGGCCCTCCGAACAGTCTGAAGTCCTTTTCATTGCCTTGTCATTTCTGTCGGTATAGAATTATGTTGAAACTTCTCGCTTGTGGTCTCGTGGAGTTTGGAGTTTGTTCCTGGTTAGAATTACCTTGGAATGCATTGGAGGTCTGCGAAGGGTTTAAGTCTCTGCTGTCCCAACAAGGGTTTAAAATTTGGAGTAGACGACTAAGTCTAAGTATAATCTGACAACAAGTCATATGAAACACGTGACACAAGTTACAACTCAAAACCTTAGGGCCTTACAAGCATCAACGAAGGCAAGTGAGGCCAACGGTCCGAACAAGCACAAATGTCGATGCTAGAGACATCGTCTCAACTTGTTACTCATAGCTTCTTGTTACTACCAGTAAGGCACTTGTTCCTAGTAGCTTCTTGTGAATCCCAGTAAGGCACTTGTTACTAGTAGCGATGCACTTGTTCCTAGTAGCTTCTTGTTACTACCAGTAAGGCACTTGTTACTAGTAGCGATGCACTTGTTCCTAGTAGCGATGCACTTGTTCCTAGTAGCTTCTTGTTACTACCAGTAAGGCACTTGCTACTAATAGCGATGCACTTGTTCCTAGTAGCTTCTTGTTACTACCAGTAAGGCACTTGTTACTAGTAGCTTCTTGTTACTACCAGTAAGGCATTTGTTACTAGTAGCGATGCACTTGTTCCTAGTAGCGTCTTGTTACTACCAGTAAGGCACTTGTTACTAGTAGCGATGTAGTTGTTCCTAGTAACTTCTTGTTACTACCAGTATAAGGCACTTGTTACTATTAGCGACGCAGTTGTTCCTAGTAGCTTCTTGTTACTACCAGGCAGGCACTTGTTACTAGTAGCGATGCACTTGTTCCTAGTAGCTTCTTGTTACTACCAGTAGGGCACTTGTTACAAGTAGCCATGCACTTGTTCCTAGTAGCTTCTTGTTACTACCAGTAAGGCACTTGTTACTAGTAGCGATGCACTTGTTCCTAGTAGCTTCTTGTTACTACCAGTAAGGCACTTGTTACTAGTAGTGATGCACTTGTTCCTAGTAGCTTCTTGTTACTACCAGTATAAGGCACTTGTTACTAGTAGCGATGCACTTGTGAAAAGCTTTGGAACAAAGTTGTAGGTGACCGGCTCATGGTTGATGGCAGTCATGGAGGTAAATGCCTGCATGGCCTTCAGTACAGGATGCTGTGGGCATGGAAGGCCCAGGTTATCTCAACAAAACAACTGGCACATGACATCAGCACAGCACAGCCACATCCAACTTGCACGGCTCATAAGGTCCTTGCACCTTTGTGCGTACCATCACCTGGGACATGCAAACAAGAGTTCATCATGTCTTCTGACCGGTCAGGTCGGCTGAATCAGGCCTCCAAGGACGAAGAACTGCCTCACGTTGCGACGCTGCATCACCTTGCATGGTACAGGTCTTGTCAGCAAAGGAAAAATCAAGAGCCATTGGATACTCCTGTATGTATATATATATTAATGTACATGCCGACATGCCTCAAAAATGACGTGCAACCTCGCATCAAGTTCAATACTGCACTATAAGGCGGTCCTCAATGCCTTCAAGCTCCATGGAGAAGTCCCACTCTGATCCACTAGATCTACTAGTAGTATGTATTCTGGGAAGTGTCACTCAATCCCTGCCCAAAGTCAGAAGTGTGGCTAATGCGTTCAACTCATATTTTTGGCTTTGCCATATGAGCTGCATTGCACAAGCAAAAGCCCTGGATGGTCAAAATCGAGTATGACGATACATTCAAAGACATGTAGCTCAATCATGCTCAGGCTTTGCAAATCCCAGTGGGGATACCTTAAGCCTTAAGCCCTAAGCTGTGGCAGCATTCCACTTCGTAGCATAGAGAAGAGTTGTAAGAATGGCCAAGCACTCACGACTCAATTTGGCACCCAGGTGGGATCTCTCACAGGCTTAGGAACCATCAACTTCTCCCAAGCCACTTCACTACAGGTAAAGACATCGAAAAGCTGTGCACATTGCTGCCCAGCCCTGCTCCAGATCTCACCACTACGGGTGAAAGACTGAGTGAATTTCTACGATTCCTGCACTACTCGGGTGGCACCTCAGCCCTTCGGGCAATGTTCAGCCACCTTCGGGTCATTATCATTTGCATGCTTGGCCAGTTTGCATAGGAACAAATCATGTCCACACAAGCACAAAAATCGCTGGATCCGGATCTCAGTCAGGCAGAAGCTAGGCTCAACCTCTGCAGCTTCATGTCTGCGCCCAACTCCATCAGCCTCACGACAAATCCGGCCAAACAAGTGCTCTCCCTCGTTGAGTGCCCTTCTTCAGGTTTTCCGAATTCCTTGTCTTTTTTTATCCCTCTCTCTCTCTCTGCTCTGTTGTCACTCGGAACAATTGTCTCAAAGACACTCCTGTCTTTTGCTTTGGTCGCTGCTTAGAAGGTCAACCGTGAAGTGGCATATTTGCTTGGAGACGAGACCATCGGAGACGAGACCATCGGAGACGAGACGATCTTGACAGAAGGCAAACTTGCTTGGAACGCTTGGAATTAGCCTGGCTTTCGGATGGATTGGTACGTGGTGCCCTTCCAATGCCAACCCCCACCATCTGCACCTCAAGGTGCTCTCTCGGCTCTGGGACATGCTTGAGCTCAAGCTCAAGTACTTGTGCGACCTGGCAAGTGGATTAAAAAGTTTAAAAAAGGAAGACTCCATCCAGCACAGACATTCCAGCACAAAGAAATATAGGTACTGTAAGAGAATCTGGAGATCCTAAATGAACGGAAAACAAAAGGGAAGGCTCTTGAGGTACTAATTCCGGCGAGACTTGCTTTTTTGCTTGCCGGCTTAACACGTGAGCACTTTGGAGCATATGTTTTTTTCCAATGATTTTTGTATGCATGGGAAAGGGTCGCGTGGAAAGGTGTACGAGCATTGTCCGAACAACGTGCGAACAATACACTGAACAAGAACGAACAATAGACTTTAGCAGAGCAATCGTTTAAGTGACTGCACTTCACTCACCGAAAATCAAGGCTAAGGAATCAGCTTACTAGTAACTAGTAACTAGAAGCTTCCTTAGGAATTAAGACCAGATCCCTCTAGTGGCTCAGTGGCTCAAGCCGGCCGGGGGGTTTGGGCCGGGCGCCGGCCGGGGGTCCTTTAAAAGGACTCGGGTGCTGGGTGGTGGGGGTGGGTATGGTGGGGTTGGAGAGGTGTGAGATTGAAGAGGTCATCAGTCATCAGTGACTGGATGTTTCTTTGTTTTGCTGTTCTAATTACAGTATGTGGTATGTATATATATATATATGTGAAAGATTGGGAGAAGGAGTTGTCTTTGAGAAGTTTGCCGAGACAAAAGAGTCTTGCCAAGGTGTGAATACAAAAACTTAGGCCTCTTTTTGTTCCTTTACCAAGAAACACACGATTGAGTATAAAAGAGATCAGCCGCCTCACCTAGTAGCCAGCTCTGTTGTTTTGAGGACACTGTTGTGAATGCGGCCCATCGAAGAGTTCTATGTATTGCGGGATGCTCATGAGAAGATACGCTGATTACACAGTAAACATGAACCAAACATAACAAGACTAAATTTTAAACTTGCTTGGTTTGGCCACGATCCGGATGCTGAATGCTGTGTCCAGTATTTGACTTCAAGTTGCCAAGTTGCCTATGCAGTTTTTGTTACTACACAGTGACAGTGACAACACACCACACACTTAGGATAGGGTGTGCTTAGGATAGGGTGCTCCATTCAGTACTTTGAGAGGCTATCCCGGGATATCCCTTCCATCAATCTAGAATAAGATCCAGATTCTGATTCAGATGTGTTTCTCTCAGTTTCCCGTCGTTTACAAGGGGCAGCTGTGAGCCAATGCCGGTGCGCCCGCCAAGGCTGCAGTCGCAGTGGGAGATTTGCCGAAGATGATTCCACCAGGCGCGCTCTGTTGTTCAAGCACCGACCACAGAGAGGGCTCATTGGCTCAAGAGACATTGTTTGTTCAGAGTCTACACAAGTCTAAGTCTAAGTCACATGCTCTCAATCGCTTGCCGGAGCAGGTGCACATGCGCCGACTTTCACTGCTTCGCGGGAGGCTTGTGTGGTAAGGAGTCAGGAGCCAGGCTTCCGGTGGAGTAGTAGTTTGACTCTGACTGACTTTGAACGTTGAGTCAAGTTACTTGCGTCTTCAAGTCTTCAAAGAGTGTTCAGAGATACTGATATTGTATATTAGATATGAGACTGATATTGGATATTAGATATTAGATAGCTTTCTTTCTCCCTCAGGCTCTCTTGAGACGTTGTTTTGGACTTTAAAGCATATGTTTTGCGGACCGCTCATGGGTGACCAAACATAAGACTAAATTGAAACAAAACTTGGTTTGTCCACGATCCGGATGCTGAATCATGCAATCACAACTCGGCAGTACTTTCAGTCAGTCAGCGGCAATCCCTTCCATCTAATGCGCCCGCCAAGGCTACTGTCGCAGCGTTGCAGTGGAGATTTGCGAAGAGATTCCACCAGGTGCGCTGGCGTGACGACTGGACACTGGACAAAACGAGTCAATCGCTGCCGCCGGTGACGTGTTCGTGTGATGGACATTTTCATCCGTTGTTCGAATAGTTAGTAGTGTGCCCAGATTAAAGCAAGGATCAAGGTCGTCAGCCAGCTCACCCACAAAGAGAACACCAACAATGTTGTGCGGTATCCTTCGCTGATGTCATTACCCAGGCTCTGTGGAAGGTTGCAGTCACACCCCTCCACTGAAGTTTAAAAGATAGATTTCCGGTGAAGGATAGACAACCCTATCGTCCATGTTCAACTCGGGCTGAATGGGAAGGAGGTGTCTGAGAGCCATTGACTGCCTCAAGTTCCAAAGGACACGTACGGCAGGCAGGACGCGTGTCACCCGATTCTGATGGCCCAGCAGCAAGCAATTGTTCCATGGGCGAAGGCCCAGCCGGCGCCGCAATCGCCGACGATCCAGAGCCGTGAACTTTGGTGCAGAGTTCTACTTTCCGTGAAGCGTTGCCTTCAAAACCCGATAGAAGCTGAGCTTAGAGATTGGAGCCTGTGCTGTGCTTTAACAGCGTTTTTAGTATTTAGTATTAGTAGACACTATAGAACTCTAGTTTAGAGTCTGGAGATGAGTATTGTATTGACTTGACTCCACTTTTAAACTTTTATGTTCCTAGTAGCGATGCCCTTTGCTCCTAATCGCTTCTTGTTTGTGTTCTCAGTGTTCTCAGGAAATGCACCACGCAAAACCCACAGATTGAAGAAGATGGCCAATCCGGGAATTTGAGAAATTGCGCCCACTTCCACGTAAAGTGCTTGTTTGCATTGACTATGCCTGAGTTCTTCCATGTAGCCTCCAATGAACGCTTCTTGGACAAAATTGAATATTTGTTGAATGATGTTGAATGTATTTCAGGATTTCATGATCCCAGGGAGCATTTGAACTTGAACCAGACCATTTTCATGCGATCGTGAGGACGACTTTATGTGATCCTCAAAGCCTTTGAGTTCAATGTTCGAGGGCAGAGGGTGCCAGGCATGTCGGAGCAGCGCCTAGCTCCCTTCTTGCAGTTGCTGACGCACTTGGTCAATGCTTTCCGGCTGGCGTGGGACCACCGGGCGGCGCTAGAGATGCCGAGTGTGCATGACTACATTTCTATGAAGCTGCCGACTCTTGACTTGACTCTTAACCGTTTCAAAGGTTTTTTGCTAATCCCAGCAATGCCTATTTATGTTGTATCATATAAATAAACATTAAATATACATTGTATATGAATCACCAGCCAGGAATGAGTATGTGTATTGGAGCAACAACTGGTGGCTCATAGATCAAAGGAGTCAATGGTGGGAGAAGATCAGCTGAGCCCAGTTGCCAGTATAGCTGAGCTGATTCTGATTGCATGCATTTCTGGAATGTTTGCTCCGTCCAAGGTCATACATTGAAAAGGTACGTCATACATTGAGCATACATTGAACTGAACACCGATGAGGAAAACCCAAGACAAATGCCTGTTAGTGATATTCACCGCTCCCATTATATTCACCTGTTCGTGATCCATTGGAAACCTAATGACTATGACCGCTCCCAGATATAGAGAATTTTGGACTTTGGACCGAGCGCAGTTGAACTCAGTTGGTGGCACCGCATTGGAGCATTGATGTCAATGCCATCGAAGCACGATGTGAAAGGTGTTCCCAAAGAGATCCACAGAGATCTGAATCTGAGTGATGCTTTTTTCGGATAAGTGAACCAACGAGCTAGCACCAGCTAGCGCCGCCGTCGCATCACATGAAAATTTCATTTGTGGGGGCAGGTGGCAGTGGCTCTGGGACACCTCTTCTTATGGCACCCATTTCAACCCCTGCCTCAAATGAATCAAATTTGCCCTTGGAGGCTTGAGTGCAGTGGAGATTTGCCAAGAGAATCCACCAGGTGCGCTCCGTTGTTCAAGCA